AATAAAAAAAAATTGTAAAAAAAAAAAAAAAAAAGAATCATAAGGTTTCAGAGATAGCTGGATAAGGGCAACTGAGGAGGGAAGGACCCTGCCAATAGAAGGGTCAGTCGAGTGAGAAATCCCCAAGGGAGAAATGAGAACAGAGCTGTTAAATATTCAACTAAGACCTTGGCTGTGCTATATGCCAGACCTCTCCTGCCCCGATTCTGAGTAAAAATCCCAAAACCGCCTTTTGCAGTGGAGACATGCTGTGTTCTACAGAGTCAAGACATCAAGAGCATAGGAAATCACACCAAAAAAACCCTTGCAAATTGATGGCTCTGGACATGGGGAAAAGGGGCAGAGGTGGCACAAGTCAATGCGTTTAATTCACAAAAGCGAGGACCCCAGCTAACACAGGAAGCTCAGAGTGAAAATCCTCCCGGGACTGCACACTGCTATAGGACAGAGACCTGCTCACTTGGGAAATGGTGTCTCTGCCACTCTTGTCAATGCAAACCAAGGTTAAGTCCATTTTGAGGCCACTGGCCATCTTGCTGTCTGGGCTGTTCCATCTGCTCTGGTTAGACCCTCCTTCAGAAACAAACTATAAACCTTATCCTAAGCCAGTGGAACTCTTCAGCCAATGGTGATACATTAAGTTTGAAAGTCAAATCCTATTACACGGACTATTTATACTAAATGACAGGAGGGGAAAGGCCTGACCATCACATCGCTAATGAGAACTATCACTATGGGGACAAGAGAGTGGACAACTAATTAACTAATCTCCAGAATCACCCAAGAGATGGTTGAGCACAACCCTTCCTGACGAGCCAAGGCAGGCCCAAACTGTAGAGTGATCTCTTGACAAGTTAAAAAGAATGAGAGAAACAGTCAATACAGTGAGTGAATTCCTGTGGTGTAGATCAAGGCCAGGAGAGATTTATCCCCCTGTGAAGAGGAGGTGCTCTGAAGTAGCTAACTCAAACACAGAACCTTACCTTCCAGGCACTTAGATGGCCTCTTCTATCATGTATCTCAAGGTTGAATCCATCAAAGGCCCAATTCACATTCCGAGTGAAGTGACCCACCTGAAACACTGCTGGGATAGATTTGTGCGACCTCTTCCCTGGCCCATGCTTACTAGGCAGCACCCAGGCAGGCCCGCCTCACCTCTGCCCAGTGGGGCAGTAGTGGACTCCATGTTTGTCTTGCCAGCACCTGCCCCTCACTCTTCCTTTATGACTGGCCTGAGGAGACTCTTCCTCCACACGCCAGGGGCTGACTCAGAAATGGGCGTATGACCACTAGGCAATGAGTGACAATGAAAGGTCTTCTGGAACTTTCCTTGAGCCATAAGGTTTTTCTTCTTCCTCTGGAATGTTCTAGTATCTTGATATCCCACCTAGAATTGCTACAGCTATTCTTTCAAGCAGCCTGATGAAGCCAATAGGATGGATGGAACAGAGGGGAAAAGAACATTTCCTTGCTGAGTTGCTGAGTCAACCCCTACACATCAGGACTTCCTGCCCAGTGAGAGACTGAATATCCTGGCTATTTAGCTACCTGAGCTGGGATATCTATAGGAGGCATTCAGGCCAAGTGATGTGAAAATGTCACACTCAGAACCTGTATTTTCAGATGCAAAATGCTAGGTGAATGGAGAAGGTGGTCATTTGTCACTCAGGTCACTGTACCTGGAGCTCTGTGAGGCTGGTTGTAGGGTCCAGGCATAGCAGCAGTGTCATGATGAGGCAACTTCCTGTGCATCCCAGGCCTCCTGGCATTAGACCTCCACCAGACAAGTCACCTAGGACTCTCTCCCTTGTGGTCACAAAGATTCTAATAGACATATCCCTGGGAATTTGCCGTCAGTTCATTAAGACTAACAGTCTCTCTAAAATGCCTTGGTCAGAATTCAGTTAAAGCATGAAGATTAAATCCAAGCTCAACACTGAGGATGGAAGGCAGGAGAGCCAGAAAAGGCAAAATTGGTTTAGAAACCCATTTCCCAACCACAGAGGAAGCTCAGCCACATCTGCTTGGTGGCCATTCAGACCCCTCTTTGCCTTCAGGATGGGAAAAGAAAATGAGCTTGCTCTTACCTGTTTACCATCAATTCTACTTCCTATTTGAGATTTAGACATCTCACAAAACTTGTCTCTTCAATCAAGAGATTTTCATCCCCCATGAGTATTCCTGGTGAAATTCCCTAGAAGGGGACATTCGGAGTAGTGAATAGTGACACAGAACGTGGGATACAGAAGTCCAACACTTGGCACTTACTGGTTGGGTGAACCGGGCAATTTTATTACTTCATCCCTGAACCTCAGTTTCCTCATCGGTAAGATGGGGATAATAGCACCTATTTCATAATTACTAACTACATTAATGCGAGGGAAACACAGTAGTACGTACCTGGCACATACTAAGCACTCAGCAAATTTAGCTATTATTTATATATGCTGATGTCTTCACACAGGGATGGAATGCTTAATACACAAAATAGTAGGTGTTAGCCACTCACATGTTCTCTTGGCTTCTGAAACATGAGCTCCCTGACCCCACTTCGTCCAAGCACACAGGCAGAGTTTTCCTTAATCTCTGCAGAGGTTTGATCTGAGACAGTTGTCAGATGGCTTTCAACTGCATGAATGAATAATAAAAGCAATTTGGGCTGTTTTGAAGGACAAGACAGTAGAGTCTAATCTTCAAACTTAATAGACTTGGAAGCATTCCTGTCAATATAAAAGGTTTTGTCTGGGGCGGTGGAGAAGCCAAGGCCAGCGCCCCGCTTGTGCTTCCAGCTCATGGCCCGGTCATAGTCCTGCTGCAGGTTCTGCTGCAGGGCATCGGCCGCCTTCTTGCTGAGAGCCATGTTGGGCCTTCCGATCGTGTTAGAGGGGCGGCTGAATGAAGGGGCCCCATTTTTAAAGCCACCCATCAGTTTGAGAAATTTCAGTTTCTGTTCCTCGTTTTCAAAGCTGGCAGTATCCCACTGGCCAAAATGAGTTCCCTGTATAGAGAAAAAGAGGTGGTTATTTTCCTGGTTTCCAAAGTCCTGCCCCTTCCCCAGCCCCAGCCCCACCAGGGAGGATCCAGCTGATTAAATGCTGGCTATGTACCAGGCACAGTGCTCATGAGCACATCAATGGACTGTCTTCTGAATTCTAACAAGAGCCCTATGAGGAATACTGTTAGCATTCCCATTTTACTGATAAGGAAATGGGAGGTCTGCAGCTTAACTGGGGGCACAAACCTCATTAACGACCCTGCTGGAATTCTATCTCAGGTCTGGCCTACACCAGGGCCCACCATGGAGCTGCCTGTCTGCTTTACTCCTTCCCTCACTCACTGCAAAGAGCATGGCACACTTCACCTCACCTCACCTCCAACAACCTCACCTCCCAACACACCTCTACACACCTCCCAGCACAGCTCACCTCGCCTCACCAGCTGGCTACCCACTCTTCCCTCAGCCTAAGGTTTCTGACAGTTGGAAGGAGGAGGAGGCAAGTGGGAATCTGAAATGAACTTCTCTTCACACAAGCACTGCATTTCATAGCAGGGAGTGGAGGCCCAGAGAGGTCAAGGGTCACACAGCTGAGTCCGAAGCTGAGCCAGCCCAGGAACTCCAGGAACTCGGGGGTTCCAATTCCTGTCCAGAGTACTCTACCACCTATACACAAATCATCCATGTTCAAGAAAATTCAAGACAGTCCCTCAGAGAAGCTGCATAAGAAAAGACCCCTGTCCTTCCCATATCTGTGAGAGAGACAAGAAACCTGGCTCAAGAAAACTAGGAGTTTAAAGTCACAGACACCCAAGAATCCAGCCTACCTGTGTGACCCTGGTCAAATCACCTAAACTCTCTGAGCCTCAATGTCGTCATCTATAAAATAGGAGTGTAATACCCTTCTCACAGGGCTTCAGCTACGGATCAAATCACATTTTATACTGACAACCCAGAGCACAATGTTTGGCAACTTTAAATCCTTGATAATTTGTCATTCTTCCCACCCCACCCCAATTGGTGACCTCCATACTGCCTGGAAACTTTCCACTTGCAAGCCAAATCCCAGCTTAGCACTTATTTCTAGGTCAGATTTGGGAGAACAGTAAGAACCAGTCACTGCGACACCTGCCCCGAGTGAAGCAGTGACAAATTCTCCCAGCTTCATAGTGGCCCAGCTGTAGGCATAATTACAGCTTCCCGGGTCTACAATTTCTAGGATGAGAAACCAGCTCGGACACTCCTGCACTGGGTCTGAGGAGAGTGCTGCCAGAGGCTGACCAGTCAAAGGTAGGCTAGCTCTCCAAGGGCTGCTGACCCACTGAAAGGGGACCCTCCCGCAGTGGCCCACAGCCACTCTGGAAGCCCCACCATATGCCTCAGCGGTCAAGTGGCCCTAGGTCCTGGGAGGTAATGCCACCTAAAGTGTCCCCAGCAGATACCGCCCCTGGGCCCCAGGAGCCCTCTTCCCCCATCGGGTCCTTCTGGGTACAGCCCCTGGAGCCAAAGGTTCTGAATGATGCTGTCCTGTTTCTTGCCTTCCTCAAGTCAATAACGGTGTCTATCAGCTCTGCTCAGCTCAAGAGGTTGGGGAGAAAGGAGAGAATACCCAGAGGGAAGACCCATAACAAAGCCCCTCTCCATATCCCACTGGACCAGAGTATGAGTCTCATTCTATAGATGTGGAAACTGAGGCTCAGAGAGAAGACATTGCTTGCCTGAGTCTCACAACTAGAAAGTGGCAGAGCCCGAAATTGAACTTGTCTTTTGATCCAAATCAATTGTTCTTTCCTATGTTAAACTGTGACTTAACAGTGCAGACAGGCAAGGCTTCCCTGTTGTCTGGATCCTTCTTTCCCTCTCCCCCAAATCCAATCTATTAATAAGTCTTTTTGGATTATGAAGCTGTTTTCTTCTATCTTCTGCCACCATCTCAGTCCTCAGGCCTGCAGGCTGAGCCTTCTAACCTACTCCCCATTTCCCCTACATAAATGCTCTCCAGCAGCTCCCACAGTACTTAGAGCCCAGTGCGCGCTCCCTACGATGGCCACCGAGGCTGGCCTGGTATGGCCCACCGCCCTGCCCACATCCCTCTCAGCCCTCTTCAGCCTGACTTTGTGGTCCTTGTGCTGCACTCTCTCCTGTCCCATCTCCTCAGGCCTGGTTTGGAAATCTCCCATTTCAACTGGACCTCGAAGGCAGTCCTGAGAGAGGCCTGCCACCACACTGCTCTCACTTCTGCCTCCTGCCCTGGTCCAAGCAGCCTTTTGAGGTCATCATCCACTGCTGGAAAGCGCCTGTCACATGCCCTCAGTGACTAATGTGTGGGACACCCCACCCATCCACAGCAGGAGACAAAGGTTCAGGCTGCTTATCTTCCTTGGCCAGCTCTCCAGGAGGGAGGCAAGCACCCCTTTCAGAAGGAAGGAAATTAGCTCAGGACAAGTTCTGCAGTGAAGAGAGCCAGCAGGCACACAGGGACAGCCTCAGGGGCCTGGACTAACATGGTCTCCCAGCACTCTGCTCTTCAGGGTGCAACATGCAGAAGGAGGACTCACGGTGCCGGGGTATGCAACCGACCAGAGCCTGAGCAGCAAACTTACTGTCCACTTCCTCGGTTCAGAAGCTTCTGTTTTGCCCGACTCACGATCGATCTCTTCTTGCAAGGCCTTTCGCCTCACCTGAACAAGGGAGAGGAAAGAAAAGAGGGAAATGGGACACAGTTGTTTTCCTCTGAGCTTAAAACCGAGCAGAGAGACAGGGCAGGAGGACAGGAGGGTGACAAGAGGGAGAGCAGCTTCCCTCTGCTGCAAATTGGGGCAGGCATTTGTCAAAAGCATCCTCTAAGCAACCCAAGGCTGCAATCCCTTGACCTAAAATGGGCAGCCTGATTAATCCTTGTTTTGGATTAAGAATGAACTTCTTTTAAGAATGAACTTTCCTGGGACGCCTGGGTGGCTCAGATGGTTAAGCATCTGCCTTCGGTGCAGGTCACGATCCCAGGGTCCTGGGATCGAGTCCCGCATCGGGCTCCCTGCTAGGCGGGGAGCCTGCTTCTCCCTCTGCCGCTGCCTCTCTCTATCTCTCTCTCTGACTCTCATGAATAAATAAATTAAAAAAAAAAAAAAAAAGAATGAACTTTCCTACAAACTGAGCCTTATCCACTTTCAGCACTAGAACCTTTTTTGTCTGTAATAGCCATACTGGGTAGAAACTTCCCAAAGCGTACTGCCTGAAGCCCTGCCTTCCTGTACAGAAGATACTGTAGTTAACTTTCGGGACAGCACTGTTTTCTAGAAATAGCACTGAAGTCAGGCACAGGTTAGTTTGAATCTTAGCTCTGCCATTAACTAGTGTGGCCTTGCGTAAGTCACTTAACCTTTGTGTACTTCCATTTATCTGCAAGTAGAAATATCAGCTACCTTGGAGGATAAATGGGAGAAACAGAATTGTGATCGGATTCATAATAAATACATATTTGGTATTCATCCAGTTTCTGCACAAAACTCCTAAACCCCTTGGGATTTCCAAAGCAAGGAGTCATCAAGTTGTTTTGTTAATGTTATGTTATGAGGTGAATGCCTCATAACATGTTTTGTTATGTTAATGAGGTGAATGCCTGAAAGAACCTAAGAATGGGGGCTGGTTGCCAGGTGAACCAACCCTGTGACTAGAGGTTTGGAATTTTCAGTCCCATCTCCAACCCCCAAGGAAGGAAGAGGGGCTGAAGGGTGAATCAATCACCAAATGGCCAATGATTTAATCAATCGTGCCTATGTAATGAAGCCTCCATAAAACCCCCAAAAGAGGGGGGTGTTCAGAGAGCTTCAGGGTTGGTGAAAACATGGAGATTTGGGGACAGTGGTATGCTTGGAAAGGGCACGCAAGTTCAGTGCAGTTCCCCATACCTTGCCCTATGTATCACCACCATCCGGCTCTTCCTGATTTCTATCCTTTTATTATAAACAACAATCTTGTAAGTAAAAGGTTTCTCTGAGTTTTGTGAACTGCTCTAGCAAATTAATAAAACCCAAGGAGGGGGTTATCAGAACCTCCCATCTATAACAGCCTGGTAAGAAGCACAGGTGACAATCCAGCTTGTAACTGGCATCTGAACTGGGGCATGGGTGGGGAGCAGTCTGGTGGGACTGAGTCCTTAACCTGTGGGATGTGACACGATCTCCAGATATACAGTGTCAGAACTGAGCTGAATGGTAGGCCACCCAGTTGGTGGCCAAGAATTGCTGGGGTGGGAGAACCCCCTACCCCACATGAAATTGTTGGGTGCAGAATGTAAGAACCTAACAAAGTGCCTGGTCCACAGTAGGTACATCTTATACAATGTTGCCAGCATGGCTCAAGGCCACCATCAGTGGACTAATGACCCTGCTGTTTGATATAAAAGCTTCCAGGACCAATATCCCTGATGAACATAGATGCAAAAGTCCTCAACAAAATGTTAGCAAACTGAATTCAGCATTAAAAGGATCATTCACCATGATCAAGTAGGATTTATCTCAGGGAAGCAAGGATGGTTTAATATCTGTAAATCAACATCAACAAAATGAATAAAAATATTCATCTCAATACATGCAGAAAAAGCATTTGACAAAATTCATCATCAATTCATGGTAACAACTGTCAACAAAGTGGGTACAGAGGGAACATACCTCAACATAAAAGGCCATAAATGATAAACCCACAGTTAATATCATACTAAATGGTGAAAAGCTGCAAACTTTTTCTCTAAGATGAGAAACAAAACAAAAATATCTACTCTCATCACTTTTATTCAACACAGTACTGAAGTGTCTGCCACAACAGACAAGAAAAAGAAGAGGGATCCAAATTGGAAAGAAAGAAAACTGTCACTACCTGCAGATGGCATGATACTCTGTATAGAAAACCCTAAAGACTCCACCAAAAAACTATTACAACTAATAAATGAATTCAGTAAAAGCTGCAGGATACAAAATCAATATATAAGAATCTGTTGCAGGGTGCCTGGGTGGCTCAGTTGTTAAGCGTCTGCCTCCGGCTCAGGTCATGATCCCAGGGTCCTGGGATCGAGTCCCACATTGGGCTCCCTGCTCTGCAGGAAGCCTGCTTCTCCCTCTCCCACTCCCCTTGCTTGTGTTCCTGCTCTCACTATCTCTCTGTCAAATAAATAAATAAAATCTTAAAAAAAAAAAAATCTGTTGCATTTCTATACACTAATAACAACCTATCAAAAAGAGAAATTAAAAAAATACCCCTGGGGGCACTTGGGTGGCTCAGCTGGTTAAGCGTCTGACTCTTAACATGATCTCAGGGTCGTGAGATCTCCTGCTTAAGATTCTCTTTCTCCCTTTACCCACCCACCCCCCATTCACTATCTCTGTCTTAAAAAAAAAGGAAAACACTCCCATTTACAACTGCATCAAAAAGAATAAAATACTTAGGAATAAATAGGCAAAAGAGGTATACTCTGAAAATTATAAGACACTGATGAAAGAAACTGAAGATCACATAAATAAATGGAAAGATATACCATGCTCATGGATTGGAAGAATTAATATTGTTAAAATGTCCATACTACCCAAAGCAATCTACAGGTTCAATGCAATCCCTATCAAAATACCAATAGCATTTTCTATAGAACTGGAACTAACAATCCTAAAGTTTGTATGGAACCACAAGACTCTGAATAGCCAAAGCAATCTTGAGAAAAACAAAGCTGGGGGTAGCACAATCCCAAATTTCAAACTATACTACAAAGCAACAGTAATCAAAACAGAATGGTACTGCCACAATAGCAGACACACCGATTGATAGAAGAAAACACAGAGCCCAGAAAAAAAACCCCCACATTTATGTGGTCAATTAATCTATGGACAAAGGATCCAAGGATATACAATGGGGGAAAGATAGTCTCTAATAAATGGTGTTGGGAAAACTGGACAGCTATACCAAAAGGATGGAATTGGTCCACTTGCTTATACCATACACAAAAATAAACTCAAAAAGAATTCAAGACTTAAATGTGAGACCTGAAACCATAGGAGCCCTAAAAGAAAACATAGGCAGTGCACCTGGGTGGCTCAGTCGGTTAAGTGTCTGCCTTCGGCTCAGGTCATGATCCCAGGGTCCTGGGATTAGGCCCCCATAGTGCTCCCTGCTCAGTGGGCAGCCTGCTTCTCCCTCTCCCTCTGCTCATTCTCTCTCAAATAAATAACACCTTAAAAAAAAAAAAAAAATAGGCTGGCGCCTGGGTGGCTGTGGTTGGGCGACTGCCTTTGGTCATGATCCCAGAGTCTCGGGATCAAGACCCACATTGGGCTCCCTGCTTGGCGGGGAGCCTGCTTCCCCCTGACCCTCTCCCATCTCATGCTCTCTCTCTCTCTCAAATAAATAAATAGAATCTTAAAAAAAACAAAAACAAAACACATAGGTAATAAACACTTGGACATCAGTTTTAGCAATGTTTTTCTGGATTTGTCTCCTCAGGCAAAGGCAATTAAAAAAACAATTTGGACTACATCAAACTAAAAAGCTTCTGCACAGTGAAGGAAATCATAACAAAAGAAAAGGCAACCTCTGAATGGGAGACGATACAGTTTACCCTTGAACAAGTAGGGGTGAGGGCACCGATTCCCTGCACAGTTGAAAATCCACATGTAACTTCTGACTCCCCCAAAATTTATCTATTAGTAGCCTACTGTTAACTTGAAGCCTTACCAATAATATAAACAGTTGATTAACACAGATTTTGTAAGTTATACATATTACATACTGTATTCTTACAATAAAGCTAAAGGTGTTAAAATCGTAAGGAAGAAAAAATGCATTTACATACTGTATCAAAAAAAATCCATGTATTCATGTACTTGTGCAATTCAAACCCATGTTGTTCAAGGATCAACTTATTTGCAAATAATATATTCAATAAGGGGCTAATATTCAAAATATATAAAGAACTCATACAATACCAAAAATAAATAAATAAATAAATAAATAAATAAATAAATAAAAGGGCAGAGGACCTGAATAGACACTGTTCTGAAGACATACAAATGGCCAACAGACATATGAACAGATGTTCAACATCATTAACCATCAGGAAAATGCAAATCAAAACCACAATGAGCTATCACATTACACCAGTCAGAATGGCTAGTATCAAAAAGACAGGAAATACCAAGTGTTGGTAAGGATGCAGAGAAAAGGCAACTCTTGTACACTGTTGGTGTGAATGTAAATTGGTACAACCACTCTAAAAAACAGCATGGAATTTCCTCAAAAATTTAAAAAACTGAAATGCCATACAAGCCGGTAATTCTACTTCGGGTATTTACCCAAAGAAAAGGAAAACACTAATTTGAAAAGATATATGTACCCCTATGTTTATCCCACCATTATTTACAATAGCCAACATATGGATGCATCCTAAGTGTTCACTGATAGATGAATGCAAAAAGATGTGGTATGTGTACACATATGTACACGTACACACATGGCACCCAAAACAGTGGAATATTACTCGGTCATGAAAAAGAATGAACTCTTGCCATTTGCAACAACATGGATGGACCTACAGTGTATTATGCTAAGTGAAATCACTGAGACAGAAAAAAGAACAAACAAAACAAAACAGAAATGACTCATAAAAACAGAAAACTAGTGGTTGCGAGATGGAGGGGTATAGGCAGATGGGCTCAAATAGGTGAAAGAGATTGAGGTACAAACTTCTAGTTATAAATAAGTCACAGGCATGTAAAGTACAGCACAGGGAACATAGTAATATTGTAAAAGCTTTGTATGGTGACAGATGGTAACTACACTTATTGTGGTGAGCATTTCATAAAATACGTAATTACTGAATCACTAGGTTGTACATCTGAAACTACTGTAACATTGTATGTCAACTACACTTCAATTACAAAAAAAAAAAGCTTCCAGGGCCTTGTCCTCCCTTCTAAGGATTAGGTATAACTTCAGCTGTCCCAATTTGTGGCCTTTCTTCTGCTCCCTTTTTTTGGGGGGGGGGGCAGTGAGAGCGAGCGCATGTGCATGTATGAGTTTGGGGTGGTGGTGATGGAGGCAGGAGAGGGAGAAAGAATCTCAAGCAGCTTCCACACCCAGCATAGAGCCCAACATGGAGCTCAATCTCATGACTGAGATCATGGCTTGAGCCGAAATCAAGAATCGGACGCTCAACCGACTGAGCCACCTAGGTGTCCCCCTCCTCCCTTATAATCTCCCACAGGCTACGAGTCAAGGTGACCATTTATAGAGTCAAGGTGACCATTTATGTAAGTTTAAAACTACATAAAACAAAGTGACAGCCGTAAAAATGAGAAAATGATATATTCCTATAGTGGAACCATGCTCCATGTGTGGAATGATACAGATGTACATATACCAAAATGAAAAGCAATCAACAGTTAAATGACAAAAGTTAAAAGAAGAGTATACAGAGCATGATTGCACAGTGCTTTAAAATTACACATATATAGTTACAAAGGAAAAATCTGGAACAATATAACTAAAGGGCTAACAATGATCATTTTTAGATGGTAGGATTTCAGGTTGCCTTTGTTTTCAGGTTGCAATTTTTTAACAAAGTAAACTTTTAGCACTTATGGGGAAAACAGGAGAGGTGAAACAGAAAGCTTCACTTACACTGAGGTAATGTGTCACCCAAAATGGTTAAAGGTTTTCCTAAAAACTGTCAAGTAATCAAAGTACTCAGCAGGCACAAAAAAGAAGTAAAGGGTTGTTGGTGGGCCTTGCCCATAGGAAGTTCACAGGCACGGGGACTGAGTTCCAGCAACTTGTTGCATCCTGAGTGGCGGAGGACACCTGGGAAAGGAACTGATGGAACGTCCTAGACAGGTCAGGGCCCCACCTGTGTCCTCTCTGTGCAGCTGCCCAGCTCATTACCGTTGGCCCTGACTCTGGGGAGCAGTACAACTATGACCCAAAGGCTAGGGAGTTCCCATTAGTCAGCATCACCTCACGGATCTTCTCGGCCCCACTTCGATGTGCCGCCTCCAGGAAGAGTTCCCCAGTGCCCCAAAGGCATTAGATTTGGAACTTCTGTGGCATCTTACAGGCCTCCTCACACTCCGCTCATTTGCTAGTACTTTCTGGTTTCCTTCTCTCCTGGAGGAGAAGGGCCAAGGGACAGGGTCATCTCTGTATCACACCCTGTTGCTTCTCTCCAGCAATTACTTGCTGACAAAGCAAGAGGATGTGGTCAGGGTAATGGCTGCCACTTCTTAAGCTGAAGTATCAGACAGGCCCCTGCTGAGTGCCGCACAAACACGACCTCGTTTGGTCTTCGCAGCCACCTAAGGAGGGTCAGTGAGGTTAGTGACTGCCCAAAGTCACCTCGTTAGTAACGGCCCAAAGCCAAGCCTATGCTGTTACCACCCCGTCCTGCCAGGCCTCATTTGGTTCAGGACCATACATACACCCCAATTTCAGAAAGCCACGCTCCAGTGAAAGGATGCGTCTACCTACGGATCTGGGCACGGCAGAGACAGAAGCAGATCCACAACAGAGTAACTTCTCTAAACACTCCTGAATCGAGGCCAGGAGACGGCAATGCATGGGCCTGGCTGAGCACATGCTCCCTGTCCTGGTTACAGTTCCTGGGGTCACACTCCCGTCTCTCCCTGCAGCAATTACAAGGAGGAAAGCCTCGACCTGGGACTCTGAATGAACAGATGGCCCCTCAGTCAGAGCTGTGGTAGTGAAGGGGTCTCCCAGCATGAAGTGGGGGAGGCCCCAAGTTCCTACCACTGGAAGTGTGCCAGAGGCTGGCTGGTGGCTTTTGGGGTCCCTGACACCTCTGGGACCAGGATCTTGTTGCCTTGTAGGAGACAAATGTGTGCCTGGCGGGTGGCAAGACACATGGAAGGGGGGTGAGGACCTGGGCCGTACCTGGTCTATGTGCGCCTCATCCATGTTGCCTTTCTTTTCCAACACCACCTCTAAGTCTGTGTCAGGCTCCTGCACAAAAGGGCAAAGGGAGTAAAAGTCAAGCATAGGATGGCCTCTGCCCCAGCAGCTCAGCAGATGAGATCACGAGAGTCCAGAAAAGACCGAAGACCGCAGCACCACCTCAACCCCTGCCACTTACAGAACTTCTGACGTCCTCTTGTGGAATCGTGGAACAATTCTCACCAATTCTCCCCTCAAAACAATGGCACTGACCTTTCTGACATATGAAGAAACTAAGGCTTAGAGAGGCGAAGCGAACATCATGAAGTCACCCCCACAGCTCAGGGACAGGGATGACACTAATGCGGGTCTCCTGACTTAGGCTTGGCGCACCTTTCCTGCCACATAGACATCATCTTACCTCCCATGGCACCAAACCAGTAAGAGGAGAGAGGCCAAGGGTCCTGCTGATGGTGGGAGGGAAACTAGCAAGGGACAGGTGGGCTCGGGGCCTCGGGGCCCTGATTGGGGGGTGGGGAGGGAGACCCTGCCAGCAAACCCAAACCCAGTTCTCTCCTCAAGAGTGCCCCCAACCCACTCCTAGTCACTGGCTTCTCTCCTGTTTGGACAACCACAAGTCTTTAACACCTGCTTCTTCACCCACCTGAGCACAGCAACTCAGGTGAGCTTTAAAACCTCAACTGGAGGGGCACCTGGCCATCTCCGTCAGCAGAGCATGAGACTCTTGATCTTGGGGTTGTAGGTTCGAGCCCCACGTTGGGTATAGAGATTACTTAAAAGTAAAACCTTGGGGCGCCTGGGTGGCTTAGTCGGTTAAGCGTCCAACTCCTGATTTCGGCTCAGGTCATGATCTCAGGGTTGTGGGATGAAGCCCTGCACTGGGCTCCGCGCTCAGCACAGTCTGCTTGTCCTCCCTCTGCTCCTCTCCCCGCCCCACCGCCTGCTTGCTAGTGTGCACACATGCTCTCTCTCTAATACTTAAAAAAAAAAAAAAAAAACCTCAAGTGGAACATGTTATATATACACCTTAAACTTGTACCATGTTATATGTCTACCGTATCTCAATTTAAAAAGTAAAAATTTAAGGGGCACCTGGGTGGCGCAGATTAAGCATCCGACTCTTGGTTTCAGCTCAGGTCCAGATCTCAGGGTCCTCAGATTGAGCCCCACATCAGGCTCTGCACTTGGCACAGTCTGCTTGAGATTCTTTCTCCCTCCCCCTCGCCCCTCCCACTTGTGTGTGCGCATGCTTTCTCTAATAAATCTTAAAAAAAAAATCTTAATAAAAATTTAGTAACTCAATTGGATCACATCACTCCACTCCCCCAAACCCTCCAAAGGCTCTCATCTTGTTTACACAAAAATCTAGGCTCCCGTGGCCTCTCTGGTCTCTAGCACTTGGCCCCCTAAACTCCCAGCTCCCACTACCCCGTCTTCGTTCCTTCCAGGGCCTCTGCGCTTGCTGTTCCCTCTGCATGACCAACGGCAGACACCCCTCACAGGTCTCTGCTTCCATGTGGTGTCCTCACTGGGCCTGCCCTGGGCATGTGTACACGTGCAACACTCTCTCACTGGCCTCAGCCCCCATGGGACCCTCTGAAAGTGAGACCTCAGGCCAGCCTTTGGTAATGACAACTGCCACATTTCCTGCATCCTTACTGTAGGTGTGCTCTGCCTGGCACCCAGCATCACGTGTGATGATCCCTAAAGAGCTCTGTTCATGCACATCACCTATCCTGACCTTGAAGATGTGTGCATTTCCTGACTCAGTGGGCTGTCCTAAGCAGCAGAGTCCCCATCGCAGGAGATGTTAAACAGAGGGGACTGACCACCTTCCACTGGACTCCGGAGAGAAGGGATTCTAGATTCTGATGGGGGTTAGGCTCCCACCTCTGAGTTCTTCTTGGCCGTAAGAGCTTCTGAATAAAAGAGACCAGTAAAACCAAATCTAATGGACTAGGGCAAAACTGGGAAAAATCCAGAAACCAGAACGCCCTGATTATGGAGGCCACCTTTGCCCTCCTCAACCCTGCCTGGCCAAGCTGAGCTCAAGCCACAAAGACACCTTCCTGATGACCCTGCTCCAGGGAGCTCATCCATCAGTCAGTATTAACTGAGCCCCTCCAATGCCAGGGCCATCCTCCAGTAAGTGCTCAATACACATTAGCCATCATTCTTACTTGAGGACCATGGGGCAGTGGCTGGTCTGAGCTCACTGAGCTTGTCGGTGCAGAACTGGGAAGAGAATCCAGGGCTTGTTCCAATATAAGACAGTCACTTCTTAGGCTCTAATGATACTGGCATCTATGAGAAGTTACAGGGCAGCTTCTGAGAAAAGATGAAACCTCAAGTTCAGAAGCCAGATTGGGTTTAAAACCCAGCCCCACACTGTAACAGGGGGGTGATCTTGATCAAGGTATTTAACTCCTCTGAGTATGTTTTCTTGTCTGTCAAATGAGGATGACCACAGCAGCTAACTCACCAGACTGATGTGAGGATTAAACGGGTTAATACATGGGGAGCATTAGCTTAGTGCCAGGCATACCGTAAGTGTTCAAAAAATTCCAGCCATCACTACCCCAACAGGCCAGACATCTGCTTGGAGTAGGACATGTACCATCTAAACCCCTGCACACACACAGACATACCCCAAAGACAGGAATGGAGGTGTGGCCCTGGCACAGACAGGGGAGGATATGGGCCTATGCAGTCCAAGTGTTCTGGCTCATCTCCTCCCTTCCCTCCCCCACTCAAGGAAGCTTGTCAGGAGGGAGACAGTGGATCTGTTGTCTTCACCAGACCATCAACCATTCCCTTCCTCCTGGGAATTAGGACTGGGTTTTCCTCCCAGAAACTGTCTTTTCCTCCCGACCTCAAGACAGTGGGGTTCAGGTGGGACTGATACCCTAGGCCCCTTCCCCCCCCGCCCCCCCGCCTTAGGAGCAGGAATTCTGGCTTGTGTGATCCAATTGAGGCCTGTGAGAGCAGCTCTAAGATGACTTCTGTAATCATTTTGGAGGGGCTCTCTCTCTCCCTTTGGGGGCAGTCTAATTATTAGGATGAAATCCTGGAGCTTCTGAGACCATCTTACCGTGAGGTTGGGAGGTGCCTGTCTGGGACCAAAACCAACGAAGCCCAGAGCTGGGGAAAGCCACACGGGCATCTCCTGCAATCCAAATCTATTTGATATCTAAATCATGTATACTGAGCACAGAAAATAAGCTCAGATAGCCACAGACCATGTTATCTCAAACTATTTGGTTCCTGAGTTTTGGATAGCAAAAGGCAAGAGTTCAGAAAGGGAGATTCATCTAAAAATTTTATTCCAATTTATTTAGATCTTGATTGAAGATAGTGAGGACTTGGGTAGAGTTTCAATAACAAGGGATACCTTTACTATTGAGGATATTCCATGAGCACCTGGATCCAGCCATACCTGAAGTTAAATAGCTTTTAACCTTTCCAGTTACAGGTCTCAACAAATCCCTTTTCTGGCTGAAATCAGTTTATCAGGGTTCTGGCAGCTACAAATATGAGAAACACACACACACCCAACTTCCACCCTTATTCTCCCAAAGCAGAGTCTAATTCTGAAGAAATGCCTACCTCTTCCCAAGGTTCTTCTGCTACTCTGCTCTCTTTCCCCTTCTTCTTTTTATTCCTCTTCAGAGCTGGCTCCTCAATGCCTGGCTGCTCTACCTTTTTCTTGGACTTCATTTTCTTCTTTGCAGGGGACTTGGGGTTATGTCCTATTGGGATGCATTCTGGAGCCTCAACTTTGACTGGCTTCTTACTTCCTTTTCTAGGGCTGCTCTCCACGGACTTGGAGCACTCAAGATGCTCTTCTAGGGAGGTATCTCCCTTCTGGTAGATTTTCTTTTTCTTCTTCATCTTCACGTTGCATTCCCTGGGGCTCCCCTGCTTCCGTTTCTGCCCTGAGGCTGCCTGCTCCTCGCCATCCTTCTCCACTGAGCAAGTGTACAGTGTATCCCCAGACTCACAGAACCAAGGGTCCTTGGCTGAGAAGGCTGCAGCCTCCTGGGCCTTTTTCTCCTTCTTGTGTTTTTTGGGCTTCTTGCCAACTCTGGTCACCTCCTCGCCCTGTCTTGTGTCCAGGGAGGTCTTCACTTTTGAGCCAGAAGACAGGGCCAGAGGCCTTAAGGACTTCCTCTTTTTTTTCTTCTCCCCACTCTGGAACTCAGATGAACCAAGAGCCTGCTTCCTGGGGCTGTACAACTTCTCTGTCCGTCCAGCACGTAATATGGTCTCAGGTTCTAGGTGCTCCTCGCAGAGGGTGCTGTGGCCCTTCTTTTTCTTCTTTTTCTTCACTAGAGGGATCTCAGATGCCTGCCCTAGGACCACATTCTTTGAGGGGGATGTGGCTCTTGTGGGACAGATATCAGTGAAATAATTATCACTGTTTAAAACTGAGTACTGAGTCTCTGGTTCTTTGACTACCTTCTTCTTCTTCTTCTTTTTCTCTGGGACCCCAAGGCCCAGGTCTCCTTTGTGGGTTTTGGTGATCATCCCTGAAAAGAGAAATGGTACAAGTTATCTCCATACCAAACCACTCCATGTACAATTCGGCTAGTTAGTGCCAAGAGCCACATTTCTGAGTGGCTAGTCTGAAATGTTAGGGGATGGAAAAAGGCGCGTGACTCCTTTGGAACAAAGGAAAATGTGATTAAAGAAGTAGAATGGAATTTAAATTCAGATAACGCCAGGTTCAAATTCAAACTGCTCCCTTCACTAACTTAAGCCCTAGTCACCTAGCCTCCCTGAACATTAATTTCCCCATCTGGAAAATGGGGGGAAATAACAATTCCTTCTCAAAGGGCTATTGGAAAAAATACACAATAATCCGTGGAAAGTGATTCCCTTTCCCACCCCCTTCCTTAAATCTCTGAGCCTAGTGACCCATTCAACAAATTTACCCACTGCCTACCCTTTGCCAGCCACTGAGGATTCATCTGCAATCTAATCAGACAGACCAGGTGCTGTCCTCAGGGGCTTACTTTCACTGAATGAAGGGGAAAGAAATCCTGAGGTCAACTCTTCCTGCTGATTCCCACCAGATGCAATAACTATGGCACAATTAACCCCTTATCTTGGCTCATCTAAGTAGCTCTTTTCCTTTCTGTCTGGAAATTAACTCCCCCCACCTGCAACCTGGATGACTTACCCTCCTAATTACCTTCCCACGTGGCATTACTAGTAATAAGAATAGCAACAAGATATGATGAAAGAAGCCCCAGCTAGGACTGACAAGACCTAGGTTCAAATGGTGACTGACGCCCTCTTGCTGCGTAGTGTTGGTTTCTCTGGGCCTCAGTTTCCCCATCCATAAAGAGGGACTGAACCAGATCAAACACTGCCAGGGAGAAGGGGAGGTGTTGGGGGCCACACCCCTGCTTGCTTCACTGTTTCTAAATTTTCAAATAATTACCAACATATAACAATTGAAGATGACACAGAGCAACCTAGAATGCCCAGCTTTTGGCATGTAGGCAACTGTGGGAAGGGGCTGGTGCCCTCAAGTACATTTTAGCTTCCAGCTGGGCCACTTCTCTCCAGTCACCACCCAAGCTGCTGCTGCTCCCTGGACTAGGTGACATGGAGACACCCAGGGAATCCAGAAACAAAATACCCCCCTCGCAGAAGGTTTGAACAGTGGGAGGGAAAGGTCAGGAGCTTCTCCATCCTGAAGCTCGCTTCAGCCTCAGAGCCCTGGGGAACCACAATGGACCTGGCTCACCATTAGCAGCTTCAAAGAGCCAGGCCAGGACTAAGCCATGGCTCAAGTTCATTTATAACTCATGCCAGGAGCACCTGGAAAGTCAAGGGTACATCCTCTCAATTCACTCTTGTTCTGTTTTCTGCTGTATTCCCAAAGCCTAGCTCTGTACCTGACACATAGCGGGTGTTCAATAAATACTCAATGAATTAATGAATGCCAGAGATACAGAGATACTACACTTGATCTTAGCCAAAAGGCCGAGAAGCGATCAGAGATACAGAGATGAACAAGATAAAACACCTGCTATCAAGGAGCAGGTGTAGGAGGAAAAGAGGTGTGATAATGAAAATATAGTGATAAAAGCAAGGCTAGTGGTCATGTCAGAGTAATGAAGTTCATCTAATCTGGCCTACCAGTTGTCTGGAAAGTTTCTAGAACAGAGGTTTCCAGCTTAGGCAACTGCAGGATGGTGGTGTTAATCCCTGAAAAAAAGGAACTTAAGGCGGGTAGTTAGGGGCTGCAGGAGACAGGCTGGTTTACATAGATGTCTTGAGCTATCCAAGTGGACAGGAGGATATTCGGTAGACAGGTGGATATGTGGGTCTGAGGCTCACGGGTGACTGGGCTGACATGGGTAAAACAAAACAAAAAACACTTGTAAATATATGGATGGTAACTAAGTCTCAAACAGAATGAGCCTAAGACAAGACCTCAGGGAAACCGGAGAACAGAGGAAGAGGGACCTGCAAAGGCAGGCGAGAAGGTGCAAACCTGGAGAGGGTGCAGTCGAGAGAGCCAAGTGGCGGGAGTGGTCAAGCGATCTGATGAGAACAAAGAAGTTAAAGGGAGACTGTAGTCAATTTAATCCCCTTTCGGCCGTTCGTAATCACTGTAGCTTCCTCCCTCTTTAGCACTGAAGATCCTCTTCTTCAACCCTGCGACCCCCCCAGATATATTCGCTCCAAGAAGAGGAAAGAATCTTACAGTGCGTCTCCAGCAAAAGCAAACACTTTCTCCAAAAGCGCTTTTAAAATCTCGCGGTAGTCTCGTGAGGACCGGTGTGAAGACCCCATCTCAGACTCGCTGAGGCTTCGAGCCTTGAATTTACTTGTCCTGGGTCCTAAAGCCAGCAAGTGGCAAAAAGGACTCGAACCCAGCCCGCAGGACGGCGGAGCCCGCGCTCTGCACAATGGAACTAACACCTCACTGCCGCCGCAGGTTCACGAGCAGGAAGCAAGGGACCCAGGAGGCGAGAACGGTCCCTCAAAGGCTCCGCCGCGCCAAAGCTTCCGCACACACAGGGAGGGATTACACGGAATCCCGGCCCCGCTCCAAGGCGGGAGAACTTCCAGGCCAGAGCGAGCACATACATGCGACTGGGGGGGGGGGTAATGTGTGGATTTGGGGTACAGGCCACCCACTTTCCCCTCAGTTCGCCGCGCAAGTCCCCAGGCGCAATCTCCAGAGCCCGCGACGCCCCGCCAGTGCCGCTCTTCAGCACTCACCCGCAGGCCAACCTTCCCCGCCTCCACGTGAAAGCCAGCTCTACCGCGACCCGGAAGTTAATCTCGAGTCGCTGGCCCGCCTCCTGGAATTCGGCTCTTTCCGGGTCATAGCCTCGCCGGGAGGGCGGTTGCTGTGGAAACCGCGGCCATGGCGGCACCGGGTCCGGCAAGTAGTCGCACCGCCCAGCGCGAGGAGGCGGCCCGCTCCGCAGAGTCGTCGGACACTGTCCGGACTCCAGTGCCCATCGTGTCCACCGTGTCCCCCGAGCTACCCGTCTCGCCAGGACAGGGCGTGGAGCCTCCGGGCAAGAACCTGTGGGAGCAGATCTGCCAGGGTAGGCAGCCCGGGCCGGCAGAGAGGGGCGGGACTCGCCAGGCGGGGGGCCGCGTTTACTGGGCGCCTACTGTGTGCCAGGCGCCTGACGTACGTGGCCTCCTTGGTAGCCGCGCCGCAGGCTCGCGGGGATCTCCATTTCACGGACGGGGAAACTGAGGCTCCGAGACTTTTGTCCGAGATTACGCAGCGGGGTCTCCCACCAGGAGACCCAGGAGAAAGCGGAACAAAGGGGGACAGCGGCTCTCAAACCTCACTTAATGAACAGTAAAGAATCGCGGGAGCAGAGATGAGGAGCTTGTTTCCTGCCCACAGATCCCATAATCAGGTGCAGGGAATCTACACTCTTAACGTGCATCCTAAGTAATTCCGATGTAGTTAAGTCTATAGCCCACGTGTTGAGTAAACATGGTCTATACAGATTTGGGTTTTAATCCTTCTCCACTTCTGATCTTCCTTAAAATCCCCAAATGGAGTTTAGCTCAACTTCTTTCGTGGCCCTACACATACTCTTGGTCATGAGGCCTTACAGTACTCTTCACATATATTGGGCAAGTTATTGACCTTTCTGTAAAGTGAGCATAATGACATCTATTTTATGGTGTTAGGAGCATTGCAGCTAAATAGTCACAGAAAGTGCTTAGCAAACTGCCCGATTTCCAGCAAGAGTTCAGTAAGTGTTAGCTCGTAAAAAATAATATTGGGTGGATTTTTTTCTCCCCTAGGTTATAAGTTCCTCAATGTCAAGAACTCAAGATTTTTCATTCTTGTGGTTACTGTCACTATGTCAGCCGTCTGAAATAGCATTTCCCAGAACTGTCGAATATGGTAGCCCTATTGATTGATGATGTTGTACTCCTGAAACTAATTAAATGTCAGATCTCAAAAAAACATGTGGTAGCTACTAGCCACATATAGTTTTGAGCACTTAAAATGTGGTTAGTGCATTTGGGACTCAAATTTTTTATGTTATTTAAGTTTAGCCAAATTTAAATAGCCAGTGGCTACCATATTGGATAAGCCAGTAAATGTTTGTTGAATGGGAAAAAAGAGTGAATGCACCAATATATGAAAGAAGTGGAGGGCGCCTGGGTGGCTCAGTTGGTTAAGCGACTGCCTTCGGCTCAGGTCATGATCCTGGAGTCCCGGGATCGAGTCCCGCATCACGCTCCCTGCTCGGCGGGGGGTCTGCTTCTCCCTCTGACCCTCCCCCCTCTCATGTGCTCTCTGTCTCTCTCATTCTCTCTGTCTCAAATAAATAAATAAAATCTTTAAAAAAAAAAAAGTGGAAAATACAGAGGAGGAAGAGAATAGTGGACTCAGTTCATAGATAACCCTCGGCGGCTGTCTGTTTCACCTCCGATCCAGTGCTTGAATTCTTTTTCCAGCATCACATTATATTTAGAAAAATCTGTTTCATCTTGAACATTCTCCTTGTAATTTCTACCCTTTGTTCCTTACCCCTTGGTGCCGTGACCCAAGCTGATCACTCTACCATAAAGAATCCACTCATATTTGAAGGTAGTTGTGGATGTCTTTTCCCCCCAAAAAGTGAAAGACATTTTGACTTCTCCAAGCCAAACAGCTCTTTGTAATAGAGTTTATTACTGGTGTGTTGTTTAAGGGAAACTGCTTACCTACCTCACAGGGCTGATGTGAGGACCGGGTAAAATAATATATGTGAAGGTGATTAGCATACTGTCAGGCATTTAGAAAGAGCTCAATAAATGTTCATTGTTGTTAACAACAAAACATGGTTTGCATTGTGTTTTAAAGTCATGAGATTATTTTGGTCACATAGCCATGAAGGGAGAAAGCAAAGACAAGGAAGTGTGGTGCTCTCTAAAAAGCAAGTGAATTGATGCTACTCACAAAGTGACAGAGTTACATCACAAAGTTAATGAGGTCAAAGATGGTGAATTATATACTCAGGTGCTGACTCGGATCATGATTATTATAACCCAGATGAATTTCTTAACCATTCTAACATGCAGTTTTCTATAACAAACATATAGTGAGTAAATTTAGTGCCTCACAACAAACATGAAAAACAGGCTTTGGGGTAATCCTATGTTTGAGGTTAACTGTTACATTCTTTTAGTATATCTCCATTTAAAAAGCAACTTATCACAGCAAATAGACCTGTGAGAAACTCAATTTCAGGAAGAAGAAATACGGAATAGGTAGATATCTGACTTAAAACTGTCCTACCTGGCTGATGCTGTGTGTGTGTGTGTGTGTATATGACTTGACGACTTACTTGTAATTGTTCTTTAATTTTCTCTCTCAACTTTCCAGTGATGACTACCTCTGAGCTTTGTATCCTCAAAGGTACTTGTATCAGTATCAATAAAATTCTTTCCTGCCAAGGCTTCTAATTAAATTTTATTATTGCAAGGGCGCCTGGGTGGCTCAGTCGTTAAGCGTCTGCCTTCAGCTCAGGTCATGATCCCAGGGTCCTGGGATCGAGCCGAGCCCCGCATCGGGCTCCCTGCTCCTCGGGAAGCCTGCTTCTCCCTCTCCCATTCCCCCTGCTTGTATTCCCTCTCTTGCCTCTCTTGCTATGTCTCTCTCTGTCAAATAAATAAATAAAATCTTTAAAAATAAATAAATAAATACATAAATAAATTTTATTATTGCTTTTGACATGATTTTTAACTATGGTTTTAACCAAAACTGAGTCAAAGTACTGGGAGCTTACATCTTCTATTTTGATATTGCTGTTATTACTCTCATCAACATCCTCATTATTGCCATTGGTTCATTACTCCAAATAGTCTCCAACCTCAACCCTTAGAGCTGTTGTAAAATCAGGTTCCTCCATCCCACCTGCCAGATACCAACAGGGACCAGCTCTGAATCAATGCTTGTAACCCTAGCACAGCAGTTGAGTACAGCTAGAGAAAAATGACACCGGGGGCTCTCACAGTGCCTATCAGTCAACATCCCTCAGTGCCTTCTTCCATTGCCCCCGTCTACTAGCCCCAAGTTTCTACTCCCCCCTCAAATGTTGGGTGATACCACTTAGTAAATGTAGGGGGCATTCATTGAGAAGAAGTGGGGAGGGGATCCTTCAGCTTCCTTATACCAATAAACATATTTGCATCTGTACACATACTCTGCTACCAACAGCTCAGCCTACATCTGTGCTTTGGTACCACCCTTTTGCCATCCCAGGATCCTGCTCTGTCACCCCCTCTCCTACATCTAACTTCTTTACTGACTTTTCCTTCCAAACATCCTTTGGTCTGACATCTTGAGAAAAACCTCTCCCTTAGCACGTATTATCTTCTAGCTCTTGTCTCTCCCTTTTCTTCTCTCAGCCAGGCTTCTGGAAAGAACACACTGCCCTTGTTCACACCACTGTCATTCCTTTTATCAACCCAGTGCAGACTAGCTCCTACTTACCTCATTGTTCCAGTGAAATTATTCTCATCTCTTCTGTCAACATATCTACCCATGCTGGGAACTGTTATAAGTGCTGGGCTAGGAATGACTCCAGGCACTATTCTAGACACCCAACAACTTTCCATCTCGATGGGTGTCCCCATCATTCACTCAGCTACCCAGTCCAGAAATCAGAGATTCATCCTAACATGTTTCCCGTTCACTTTTCATGATCCCCACATACATTTCTCCAGTCCCTACGGATTATACCTGCTTAACATTTATAAGCCCCAACTCCTCAGCCCCTAGTTGTCATGGCTCCTGCTTTAGGTCAGGCCCTTACCACATCCTGTTTGGATTGTGCTGTAGCTTTTTAAATGCAGAAGGCCCCTGTCAGACCCTCTTCCACAGGACCCTCTCTAAAATTCAAATCTGATCACATCGTGCCTTGACCTACAATGATTTTCATAGCTTTCATGGTAAACAAACTCTTTAGCTTAAGACCTAAGCCCCTTAATGATCTGGTTCCTGTCTTTTTTTTTTTTTTTTTTAGGTTCAGCCCCTACCATTTGCTCAAATCATACTAATGGCAACATGTATTGAACTGCTCTATGTGCCAGACACTGTGCTAGATGCTTTTCCTCTCATTTAAACCTCATAGCAATGCAGTGAGGGTTTTCCCTGTTGTACAGGCAAAATGGAGGAAATTGAGGCAGAGAGAGTTAAGGAAACTTTCCCGAAGTAAGTGACAGAACCAGGCTTGAACTCAGATGTGTGTGTCACTCAAATCCAAGCCCTTACACAACATACAGCATGCTTCAAAGTGTAGCCCGGGGGCACCCGCATCAAAATCTGGATTGCTTGTTAAAATGCAGATTCCTGTGCTCTGTCCTGGACCTGATGAGTTGGACCTCTTGGGAGTGAGTCCTTAAGCTCTGCATTTTAAATAAGCTCTCCAGGTGAGGTACAAAGTACAGTGCTACTGTCCTGTACTGTGTCCTTTTAGCCACAAGAACTAATTCCTCCAATGCGCCATACTGTTCTACTCCTCCATGCCTTGCCCAGGCTTTGCCTCTTACTGGGACATCTCTGCCTTCTCATCTTTATCTTTCAAGACATAGCCTAAGTGGCCCCCCCTTCTAGAAAGGCTTCTTTCGTTCCTCGCACTGATTTTGAAGCCCTGTCTCCTCACTGCACTGAGAGACCATTGGGCATAGCCCTCTCCAGCAGCATGTCCACATCTCAGAGGCACCGGATTACTGTTCATCCCCTCACCAGAACATAAGCTCCTCTGCACTAGGCATCTATCCGTCCAGCACCTAGTACAACCCCTCGCTGTAGTGTATGCTGGCTAGGTGTTTGTTAGATTCACTCCCGCCTCTTCACCTTCCTGATCCATCCCTTTCCAATAGGCCCCTGTTGGTAAACATTGTATTTTTTTTTAAGTATTTTTATTTATTTATTTTTGAGAGAGAGAGAGAAAAAGAACAAGCCAGGGGAGGAGGGGCAGGGAGAGAAGCAGGTTCCCTGATGAGTAGGGAACCCCATGCGGGACTCGATCCCAGGATGCTAGGATCATGACCAGAGCCGAAGGCAGACACTTAACCCACTGAGCCACCCAGGTGCCCTAAACATTGTATTTTAATTGCTGTTTCAGTTAGGAACATGTTCAGCAGCAAATCAGAGACAGTCTAATAGTGGCCTGAGCAAAAAGGACATTTCATTATCTCATATCCTTAGGAACATAGAGGGGACAGGTTCCAATTTTGGCAGAAAGGCTCTACTCTGCCAGTGGGGTTATAAGCTCTTTCTGCTCTGCCTCTTGCAGAATATTGCCTTTGTTGTATAAAATGAGTAACCACTTCCACTTGTTCTTAGTATTCACTGAATGTGCATATAACACTAAATTCCCCTAATCGATTAACCCAGTTTACAAGCTTCGATAACTAAAAAATTATAAACATTTATAAATTTAGTATACCTGGTTTTCTTAAGCATTTCTAATGCTAAACAGACAAGCAAATTTCCTAAGCACTGAAGCAGCTCTCAGAAATTGAATGAATCAGGGGCGCCTGAGCGGCTCAGTTGTTAAAGCTTCTGGGCGGCTCAGTCGTTGGGCCTCTGCCTTCAGCTCAGGTCATGATCCCAGGGTCCTGGGATCGAGCCCCGCATCACATCGAGCTCCCTGCTCAGCGGGAAGCCTGCTTCTCTCTCTCCCACTCCCCCTGCTTATGTTCCCTCTCTCGCTGTCTCTCTGTCAAATAAATAAATAATCTTAAAAAAAAAAATTGAATGAGTCAAACTATGGTAAATCAAGTTATTTTAATGAGTTCAATACTCTGCAAACTTAATCAAATTCATACAAGCTCATATGGTTTTCAATGTGAAAAGCATCGGTCTGTAATCAATTACATATTTTAAATTGAAATCACAAGGCAAAAGCGACAAGTTCTCAAATATGCCAGATACTCAAACATTATAGAGACTTGAAATCACAAACACATCATATTGTCCTGAAGATAATATTATTTTCCTTTACTTCTGCATAATCATTTCAACTGTATATCTTTTGCGGTCATATGATGAAAAAGTTTGTATCTTTTCCATCAAATTTAAGTGGACTCTTAAGAGATCTACTTGGAAAAAATCTAAGTAGAAAAAATATAAATAACAAAGAAATGCAAATAAAAGCAACATATCATTTTAAATATAGATAAGATTGGTAATACCCTGGAGAAACAGACAGTCTTACTATTAGGAGTATAAATCGTTGTAAACTTTTTAAAGGAATATTTGGCAATTTGGCTGAAATTTTAAACTATTTTTTCCTTTAACAGAACAATTCCACATCTAAGAATTAATTCTATAAAAATACCTCCTTTCTGGGTGCCTGGGTGGCTCAGTTGGTTAAGCGACTGCCTTCGGCTCAGGTCATGATCCTGGAGTCCCAGGATCGAGTCCCGCATCGGGCTCCCTGCTCGGCAGGGGGTCTGCTTCTCCCTCTGCCCTCTTCCCTCTCGTGCTCTCAGTCTCATTCTCTCTCTCTCAAATAAATAAATAAAACCTTTAAAAAAAAAATACCTCCTTTCCAATTGATGATGTGTATATAGTGATGCTCCTAGCAGCATTGTTTGTAATAATGAAAAATTGGAAACAACCTAGACACCAAGTACACTGGTTAAATAATTGTGGCATATCATATATGTAGCAACCTTGAAAGATGTCCAAGACTCAACACCTAAAATGGTTCTTGGCACATAGTACGCTCTCACTAAGTGTGAACAAATGAATAGATAAAGGATCAAAAGTAACTTGTCAAACTATTCTTCATTTTGTTCATCCATTCAGCAAGTATTCTTTGGGAATATGATGGTGAGCATAAACAGACCCAGACAATTTCCCTCGCAAAACACACAGTCATTAATTTTTACAAATTTCAAATAAGGATAAAACTGATAAGAATTGTGAAGAAAAAGGACTGTGCTATGAGGTTCTATAGTTAGATGATTTGACATGGTCTGGGAGATCTAAAGTAAATAAATGTATTTGTGTATTATATACATATGTTAGTAAATATGTTGAAAATACAGTGGTTGTGGGTTATAATGGGATTGGATGTGACTTACACTCTTTACATAAGACAAGTCGGTATTATTTGGAATTTCCTCATAATAGCATGTGTTGCTTTTGTAATAAGACAAAGCTCTAAATGTATATATCCTAAATCTGAATAAACAGTTTTCACACCCTGTTGGTGTTTCTCAAAGTGTTTGGGGAAGAAGAGTGAATTTACATGCTTGCTTGAGAGGAAAGCAAAGTGGTAGAGCTCAAGCTGTTACAGTGGGTGGAATTCTAAGATGGCTCCAAGGATTCCCACTCCCTACTGCACACACCTCCTAGTTATTCAGTCAAACACAAATCTAGGCGTTGCCACCAAGGGATCTTCCAGATGTAATTGAAGTTTGTCATCAGTTGACTTTTAACTTAGGAAGATCACAGTAGGTGGCCCTGACCTAATCAGGTGAGCCCTTAAGTCAACGTCATTAAAGCAGAAGAGACTCCTGTTCGCCTTGAAGTAGCAAATAACAATGTGTGAACTGTCCTTGACAGGACCTGAGGGTGGCCTCTAGGAGCTGAGAATCCCACCAACAAAAAGAAAATGGGGATTTCAGACTTACAGCCACAAGAAACTAAATCCTGCCAACAACCCATGATCTTAGAAGAGGACCCAACCCTCAGATGAGATCACAGCCATGAATGGCCAACACCTTGATTTGAGCCTGATCCCATACCCGGACTCCTGACCTACAGGAACTGTGAAATAATAAATTTGTATTGTTTTATGTTGCTAAGTTTGTGGTAATTTGTTACATAGCATTAAAAACTAATATAGCTGGTACTGGGAATCAAGACTGCTTGCAACCTACAGCCTGACATACTGGTCCCCAGCATGATAACTAGGGGTTAAAAAAAAAAAGCCAAGAGATGTTTCACTGACAGGGAACCAGGTAGTAGAACAAAACATAGGTCCAATACAATTTTATTCATTCCATCCATACCATCTTGCCCAAAAACTGTTTTTCCTCATTGCTGCAAAGCGGCTATGCATTTGCCTTTAAAACATTGGCTTTTCCAGAAATATTTTTACCACTCTCTTTTAGGGATTTAACTAAGATAGCCGATGAGCATTTCTGTCCCTCTCTGAGCAATAGTTCTTGTTACCCTGCAGAACTTGTATGGACTGTTCTTTGCGTTAGGCTCTCCAACAGGTTGACTGTGAACAGCCTTGAAACCTGGCAATCATTCTCCAACTCACTGCACATTAGAATCAGCTGGAAAGCTTTAAAAATACTGATTCCCAGGCCTCCACCCTAGACCCATTGAATCAGAATTTCTGGAGTTGGGCCAGGCTTTGGTATTTTCAAAAAGCTCCACAGTGATTTTTGCGTGCAGCCAGGGTAGCAAGCTCCCGGAGTTGACAGCAGAACTACTCCCACTTGTGCGTACAAGTCACCTGGGATCTCATTAAAATGTAGGTTCAAATTCAGCAGGTCTGGGTGGGTTTGAGGTTTTGCATTTCTAACTCCCCAGAGATGCCAGTGCTGCTGGTTCTTGGGCATACTTTGAGTAGCAAGGTCTTTATGGGGTTACTCTTCCAGATGCAAACCCCAATCAGGCCATCCTACCTTCATGCTCATCCTCATGACTTCAAGAGACAGCTCATCTCTCTGTCACTTTTATTCTGCCCTCCCATCATGTGCTCCTCTTCTTTCTTTTCTCCCCTCCTCTCTGTAGCTGCTGGTATCTCCCCTTAGTTATCATAATGGGGGCAAAATCTAAAGTTGTACCTTCTCAGCCAAAGAGTCTCAAACTCTTACATAAAGCCTTGAGTCTGTCATACAAGAGAACAATCATCTCATCCATTTTAAGTACGGTGGTTCACAGGAGTTATTAACCTATAGTAGCCAGTTGTTTTTACTTCTATAAACCATCAACCAAAATAAAATTTAAGGATGTTTTATTCAGAGGAAAGGAAATTGCATCACAAACTGCAATGAAGTGTGGAATTGAGGATTTTTTTCCTGCTCCCTTTAGAGTATGAAGCTGAGCTGCCTCCCTTTCCAGAGGGATATAAAGTCAAACAAGAAGCTATGATTACTGTGAGTATCACCCAGACCCCAACTTAAATGAAAGGCTCTTATGTGAGAATGGTGCTGACGTAATGAGTTTGGGAGGTGGGAAAGGGAAGGCACTGGAATTAGAACCAGAAATTGGGCCCAGCCCTAGCTCTACTACTAATGGTGCGACTTAAAGGGCATCATATAACCTCTCTGAGCCTTAGTTTCCACCTCTGTTAAATGGAACAGATAATCCTTGACTAACTCACAGGACCTCTGTGGGGCTCAAATGAGATCCTGGATGAGAAAGGTCTTTACAAAGGAGTCAACACATGTCCATGTTGGGGACAGTTGGGGATAGAGCATGTTTCTGTATGCATGCCAGTGTGGGTAAGATAAAAAAGACTGTACTAAGAGGGCCAAGGACAAGGCAGCCAGGAAGGGGGGCCCTCAGGCAGTATGCTTGGAGTAAAATAGGGGCTTAATGGAGTTTAAAATAAAAGAGCAGGGCTCTGAGAGAGTCGGGTTATTGAGCAGGGTCACAGGGATAGGACCCAAACCTAAGTCTCTATACTTGGCAGTAGCTTATTGCAACTGCCACTAGTAGAGATTCTGTGTCTAAGAAATTTCTTGGCCTGTGATTGTTCTTTTTTTAATAGTGTCCTGTTCTTGCTCTGTGGATTTAATGCTTTCTCAAATTTCTCCGCAGATACCAATTACAGTTCCCTTCCCTGAATTGTTGGTGCTTCTTCCAGTCAGTTGTTCTTTGTAGATCCTGATCTCTGTCTTTTATGCTGTTGATGTTCTTTATCTGTGTAGAGAATTTTGTTATTTACTCAAAATTTAAAATGGGCATCTGAGTGGATTTTTCTATGTAGCTGGTATGATTTTCTTCTATTGTACATGTGGGTTTGTTTTCTGGATGAGTCTCTTCTATGAGTAGAAACATTGACTAGGAGCTTGTGGGGAGTGCTTGTCTACTGGAAGACTTTTGCTTCAGGGTTGCAGGCAGAGAGCCTCCAAATCAATGGTGAGCTTTTTTTTTTTTCCCTTTTGGCTACCAGCTTGGCCAATCCTTGGAGTCATTGGAAATCACTGGAATCATTGGGAAGGAGGGAGACCTGGATATAAAATGCTGGTGGGAATGGAGCTTTATGTATATTGAAAGGGGCGGAAGCAGGAGAAGGGGGAATGTAGACAGCAGGCCAGTGGAGCCCCAGTCAGACTTTCACTTAACCCCGCCTGTTTATCATTCCCTTTCTCATTCCCATCCTCTGAGGACTTGAACCCCTAAGAATCGAAGCCTTTTGGAGTTTTGATGGGAATAGGGACTCCCATCCCCTGGGACAGTTTCTTCCTGTGGATCCTGGGCTGCCATTACCTCTCTTATTTGACCATTTGCTTCATCCCTGTTTCTTTTGGAAATGTCAAATCTTTCATCCACTAATGGTCCTCCTGTTCTTTTCTCTATTAGGGCTTTATTCCTTGATTGTCATTTATAGGTGTCTCGGAAAGGAAGAGGGACAAAGATTTGTACTCGTTATGCCCCTTGAACCTGAAGTTAATACAGAATTTTATCCTTTGTTAGGTTATACAGGAAAATATAGTTATTTAAGCTATTTATATGAATTGATTTCCTCCCCAAACCCCCCATCAGGTTTCACCATTAGAGGAAACGGTTCTCCATGGCTTCAATACAGAGCACCTTTATTCAGTTCCTCATTTGACCATGGACTCGCATGTACCCTGTCCTCAAGTTAAGTTGGGAACAGTCGATCCAAAAACATGTAAGTAAGGAAGTGAGATTTTTGTCTTTTATAATTTGGGGCTTGTAACATTGCAAAACCAGAGGATGGGGATGGGATGGACAGACCTCAGGGAGACCACAAAAATACGAAAGAATATGTTCT